TTGTATTTGCCAGATTCTTTTCCAAAAGATGAAGTTAATTTTTTAGTAGTGCTTTGCTATCCATAGTAATTGAAAAGTTTACTTTTAATTTTTTTGTATCACTTTTAAATACAATAATTTTGAATCAATACTGATAAGCTAAAATAGACTTTTAAATCTATTCTAATATCCCAAAAAAGCCAATGCCAACCAGGTTTTTGTTAACTTCTTTTGAATTAAGAGCAAAGAACCTAAGTCTTCCAATTAAGATGTAAATATGCTTTTTTAAACATTTTATTTAAATCCATCATTAATTTGAAATTGGATATAATTATTAGATGAAAGAGGATTAGTTAAAATTACATTTTGATGACTTGGATCTTCTTCTGGATCTTTTTCCCCCAGGAGACACGTATATCACGTCACATCCTCTTATAACAAAAAAAAAATACATTTTATCCTCATAAATCTTTGAAACCCTTGTCTAATACTTATCTTTTTAAGGGAATAGTAAGAGAAAGATGGGGTATTTATTCTTCTGGAATATAAGATTTTTCTTTTCCTTTATTTCATCTAGTAATAAATGTGCTCTGGTCATGAGTAATCATCTCTTTCCTTTGTTTAATATATCATGTTTGAAAGAATTTTATGCAACCATTTCAGCTGTATACTCATTATTACATTTACTAAGGCCAGTGAATTGGCTTGGGCAAGAGATTACCCCAGAATCGTTTTTGAGAAATGGCTGATGTTTTCTAACTGGAAGTACCTTTGAGGTAGTGAGCCTACACCTGAACTGAAAAGTATGCCACTGGACAATAGAAGTATGTGACTCCTGAGGAGGATCAGCTGTTAACAAGAGAGATTCTCTCAGAGAATCCAGCAAGTGTGCTCCCTTCTGCCAGAGGAAGTGTGGAGTGTTCTATGGAAAATTTGAGGTCCAACATATTTCTTTCCATAGGACAAGGTTTTTTTTTTTTTTTTTTACAAGGTTTTATTTCACACTGGACAAGGTTTTATTTATTCAATGTATTTTTGTTCTGTGGAAAGAACTAACCCTTAGTGACATGGCAATCACAGCAAACATAGCAAATAGGCTCTAAGTTTTAAGCTTAAGAGTTACTTGAACGTAAGGACACTACAGTCAAACTCATCTTTGCCATAAAATTTTATGCATGTAGGAGACACCTTATAGATATTTGTTAAAATGAACTAAAGTTTACATTACCTTTATTGAACATTATTATAAAAAATTGAAAATCTGTTGAAAATGTTGATCATAAAAACCAAAAGCTGGATGACTTCAGTGCCCAGTGCTGTAATGGAAGAATACCATAAATTTGACACAGTGTGCTCCTCTACCTTTTGGAGTCTTCATATAAAAAGCACTAAAATATTTTTGGATCGAAAGTTAATATGAGTCTTTGATACTTAATGGAATTTGAACTTGGAAAAGTTAAAAGAAGTGATTATATCTTCTTCTAATCTCTTTGTTATATAAAGACATGTACGACAACTGTGAGTTGATAACAGTTTTTGATTCATAAAATATTTCTTTTAAATTAATAACACATTTCCCTAGCTAAAGCAGTAGGAAAGGATCATCTTCATCCATTTTGAAATTACTTTCCAAAGCACTTAATTTCCAGTTAATGAAAAGCCAGAATTCATACCCTCTGTATGTGTAAATGCTCCCATTTATGTGGTAGGACCCAAAATACCTAGTATTGGTGAACATTTTGAGATAAGAGATTTAACTGACTGCTTTACAGAGTAGAAATTTGGTAGGGAAAGACATAAAAATGGCTTTTTAAGAAAATTGTGGTTGGGAGATAGGTAATGTAATTCATTCTTCACCACATCTTCCGAAGACCTCCTATAAAGACTGCTTTTCAAGGATTAAATTTGGATTTGTTTTCCATGCATGGGCTGAGTTGGGCCTTAAAGCTGTGGCTGGAAAATTTTTTTTTTCAGGTATTTAGTTGGATAGATTTTAAAGAGTAATACAGAGTGAAATAAGAAATCCTTCTTGATTATGGCATGCATAACTTATTTATCAAGTTATAACTCAGTGCAAAAGTGCTGTAATTCTTGATTTTTGTTAAACCAAGAGCTTTGCAACTTCTGATGGCTTTTTTAGTGTAATGATTTACATACCTAATCTCTCTTTTTCATTGTACATTGTTTTTACATTTTTTCCCAGTTATGTCTTATATATACTATGAGATAATGAGTTGACTATAGGCTGGAAACTGACCACATAGAAAATTTTAAAAAATGGTTCCTTCAGCTGTCTGATTTTCAAAATCTAAAAAGCCCCTCAGTAGTATAGACTAGGAAATTTAAAATAAGGCAGGTACATGACTATATATGCATATTTTAGTTATTAAAGATTATTTTTGGAGGCTTGTGATTTATGGAAGTTACTCATTTTCTTTCTATCATTATGTTCTATGTTATGAATATTAAACAGCTTTAATTACTGAATATGTGCACTAGTAAATCTCAAACTATTTCATGTAAAATTTTCAAATCGTGATTGGTAGGCAGTAAAGAAATAGATATACTTATTTTTTAATGTTTCTGTTTAATCTTGCATACCTTGCTCTGACCATGATGAGGTTCAAATTTACACTAAAGATTATCATGCTTACAGTAGCAAAAAATATAAATGTAATATAAATGTAAATTTTAAAGAGGATTGGGGGTAAGAGACAAAGTGAAAAGGCAGTTTTATAATACTACAGAAAGATGTTTGGGAAGGAAAAAAAACTATGAATTAACCAGATATAGAATAGGATCATTGGATTCTTGAAGAAAAAAATTCTTAACAGAGAATTTAAATCTTGCAAGCACTGAATGCCCATCCCATAGAAGTTTAAATACTTTATAGAATTTATTTCATCAAAGTATACAGATGTTGCTGACAGAGTCCTATGGAAGACCATAATTATTCTATTCCTTATTTTCTAAATATGTTTTTGTTGTATTATAAAAATAAATATATATGATTAATAAATTTAATCTGCTTTACATCTGTTCTTATTTAATATATATTTGAAGATAGGTAAATATGGAAATTTTATATTTCCTCTAAATGCATCCAGATTTGTGTAAATGTAACAAGCAAACTGCAGACAGTCTGTGAGTGATGCATGACCATGCAGGTGATGGCTGGAAAATGTTGCTAGCTATTTCTGACACACTTACTTAAAAAGTGATGGATTTCCCACTTTTTTCTTTTTTATTGTACTTTAAGGAATACTTTAAAGACTCTTCCTTCTAGCTCTCTCTGTTTCTTTTGAAATGAGAAAATTTTAGCTGTGGGAGGCAAAAATCAGAAGATAAATCAACAAAAGAAAATATGTGGAAGGGTCTAGTCTAATGGGACAATCAAAAAATCTTAAAATAGGAAAAAAAAATCAAGACTCCTTTTATAGCAAGAAAACTACTATCACCAAAAAATGTAATTTAGGTAGGAATTTGAGGATGTGGGTAGGGTACCTTTATCTGCGAGATCAAATAAAACTTAATTTTTATATGAAATCAGCATCTTCAGACAACCTGCTCTTTTTTTTTCTCTTAAGACATTCTCACTACTCTTCCACCTAGCACAGCAGTTATTTTTTTAGTTTCACAGGGAACAGCTGATTTTATAATTGAATTTGTTCATACGACATTACTGTTTTGATAAGCTGACTCAGCTTAATTCAATGAAAAGTATATTTGCCTGTTTTTGCAGCCTCCAGAAGATTATGGCAACAACACACCTTAGCTGTGTTTACATTTTTATGTTACTGTATCAAGGACTCAGGTTACACACAATTCATATATGCTCATGTGCTAGATCCGTTTATACCCTCTTTGGTGTACGCAGCGGCATACCTGTCTCTTGGAAGGTTTGGAAAACAGCTCAGCATGTTCGTGTAACTTATTTTTACAAACAAAACATAAAAATTCTTAAACTTGCAAAATGTACCAATATTAGACAGTTCGATGTGTTTATTTTCTTGGGCCACCATGTAACTATCATAAAATTCTGTTTAAATTAAAATCTTGTTACGTTTAATCTAAGGCTATAATCGTAGATCTTTTATTCAAAGCAATTCTGCTGAGAATAATTTTCTTAATGCTTTGATAATTACTCTTGCAAACTTGTGAAGATGAACCAAGGAAACAGTCATGGATTATTCCATGCTTCACTCTATTTATAGCCTTTAGAGCAATGGACTCACTCTTGGTCTTTCCAGGGGTGATCTTCATAACACAGTAGAGAAATATACTATAGTTAGTAAAAAATTAGAGGGGAAAGCCTGCCTCTAAACTGCCACCTACTACGAAATATGTAGGACACTATAAAGTTAATTTTAAAAAATGACAAACCAAGACTTAAGAAGTTTTAAAAGCACAGTATGTTTCTCCCTCACCCTCCCTGATAACTTCCTTCTCACCCCAGTCACACTTGACAAGAATTCACTACATGAAATCATTGGTCTTTTCTGCAAATAATTCTAACAACGTCAGGCTTCGACAGGTAAAGTATTGTAGGATAGAGTTAACGATATGACCCACAGAGTTGAATATAATTATCTAAAAAATAAATATTCATGTCAGTTTGGAAGCTACTCGATCACAAAACATGAAAGCAAGGTCAACTCTTTCTTTTTAATCTACCATCAAACTCTAAATACATCATTATCTCCAAATTCCTTTGGGTTAAGTCCTTGAACACTTCCGAAATACAATTATACAAAGTTACGCATCCATGCTGAGTTATTTACCATTGTGTAATGATAATCTGCAGTGGGCCAGGGTTTTATTTGCAGGTTATTCAGAGAGGAGCTATGATGAGTGATTTTTAAGTCCAGGTTGGAAGCATAAACAAAGGGTGTGTGCCCGTAGCCTGACAGGAGACTGAAGTTTGTGAAGTGATGTTTGGAGAATCAGAAGAGAGGGTAGTAGAGAGGATATCTTTCATTTTAGAAATGCCGAGGCACAAAACACAGGTGCTTGTAGTACTTTCATACATGAAATCCCTTCTCCTGTATGTGCATCATGTGTAAACGTAAAGTCTGTATACTGCTGACTATTCGTCTCTGGTGTCCAATGAGTATGACTCCAATTCTTCTAATATCACTGTGAGAGATTGAGAGAGAGAGAGAGAGAGAGAGAATATGAACATTTAGATCTGGTAAGTATGACAGAGAGGAAATGAACATTTAGATATGGTAAATGTGCCCCATGTCAGATTTGCCAAAAATTGTATACCTGGTAAAATGAGAGTTTAAGCAGAGATATAAATGAAAAACAGGAGTTCGTTACCTTTCTCTTTACCCTGGTGCCAGAGAAGGCGTCAGGTCAACCTCAGATTTAAGGGTACAAAGAATTCAGGTACCGATGTAATGTTCAGATATTTCATAAGCCCAAGGGTTTTATGTAATTATATAAATTTTCAACAGTATTAGCAAAATAGCATGTAGGATAGAAAGTATAATGTGGACTCCATTTTAATTGTCATGGCCTTTCAATAATCTGAAAAAATGCCATTATGTTATGTTGAACAGTATGAAATTACCATTACTATTTTACAACAATGGCAATTTATTATGGCTTCACCTACTAGTTTCAGTATCTTTCTTTTAAGCACATGTTGAGCATTTTCACTGCACCCATGAAAGGATAGCATTTGAGAAAGTGGAAAAATGCTGGACCATTATAACATAGAGAAAAAGCTCTGAGATAACATAATATTGTATTATTACAATTATTACATTTGATGAAAGTAATAGGAATTGATTTAGTATACATGAGTCAAAAATAATTTGCAAAGGTAAAACTATGTTGATGTAAAGTCTATGATGTGAACAAGAGTAATATGCATTTTAGAAAGCATTTAAAATTTTAAATAGTTTTTTAAATTAAATATATTCTTTCAAAGGAAAATAGTTAAAAGTGCAATGTCCAACTTTCACTAGAATGATTGACAGAAATGGTGAGGAAAGATGTGGAAACACCATCCTAGTATTAGGGAAGGTAGTTTAACCATGGTGTTCTTGATATAGTATTTGAATTTATAATCTCCTGAGTGGAGCATCTAAATATAGTAATAAACATAGCACCACTTACTCAATGCTCATTCTTGAAATGAGGTCAAACGTTGTAAACCCTGCTGCCATGAAGTTATTCTTATATTGCCCCATCTTTATAGAATCTAGCCAGTCACCGACCGTCACAAACAAAGGATATTCGGGAACTTCACCAGGAGAATCTGGCATTCTACGAGGAAAAAACAAACAAACAAGCATGGAGACCATTTAAAAGCCAGACAAAGCAAAAAATACCCAACTTTATTTTTACATTTTACAGTATTCTTACATCAAATGTTTTCATCCTCCATAGAACACTAGAGATTTAAAATTTTTCCATCATATTCAAATCAGCCACTTATACCTGGTCAGTTTCACTTGTCAGTTTCTTTTGTCTTTTCCTGCTTTTTGCCACTACTAGGTCTTATACTTGATGTATCTTGAGAAAACCCACATCTTGCTAACTTCTGTTTACTTTTTTCTCTTGCATGAAATTCTGTTTTCAAATTTGAGGAATACCCCCAAAGAAAGTAACTAGCCACAGGCTATTCACTCATACGCTTTCTGACCTGCCACTGAATCTATGCCCTTTGGCCTTTTTCACATTTTTTTAAAAAAATTCTATTTATTTTTGGCTCCGTTGGGTCTTCATTGCTGCGCGCAGGCTTTCTCTAGTTGTGGCGAGCGGGGGCTGCTCTTCGTTGCAGTGCATGGCCTTCTCATTGTGGTGGCTTCTCTTGTTGAGAAGCACAGGCTCTAGGTGGGCGGGCTTCAGTAATTGCAGCAAGAGAGCTCTAGAGCGCAGGCTCAGTAGTCGTGGCGCACAGGCTTAGTTGCTTTGCAGCATGTGGGATCTTCCTGGACCAGGTATCGAACCCATGCCCCCTGCATTGGCAGGCAGATTCTTAACCACTGTGCCACCAGGGAAGTCCCCTTTTTCACATTTGCTATGATAACCCCTTCTTTTTTTTGTGGTGAATTCATTGATCAAGTCTCCATTTATCTGTCCTCAAACATTCAACAAGAATTTATTATTTATTAAAAAGTAATTTCTGCTGTCATAGAGCTCAACTGCATGAATAAGATTTACATACATCCAAGTATAGGGTAATACAGCCCAAAGCACAGATATTAATAAAGCACAAAACTAGAGCAAAATCAATGCAAGCTTGGGTTAACAAGAAAAAGGAATCTGTCATTGATGGATCTTAAAGTAAGTGATACAGAAATTTGTATTTCTGTTCCTAAGATCTGATGCACAAGGGCATTCCAGTTAGAGATATTTTTGTAGTTTTAATATAAAAATAATATAAGGGTATTATTTTGAAAAGGTTAGTGAATGTGTGAATACATAGATATAGATACATATAGGTATATCACCAGGACTCGGGTCTTTAGGAGCACAAAAGCCAGAGATGTACATAATACATGGGGATACAAGTTGTACACTGTATGACTCCTGAAGACCCTGAAAGATGCCCCTTGGAGTTATTTAGGACAAAGTCCCTACTAAAGACCTAAAATTCATTTCTTTGGTTTTTCTTTGATTCTACATTGACTTCTACTTTTCTAAACTGAATTCTAGTTGAAGATGGACAGGGGGGTGAAGAAGGATGACAGGGAAATCCAGGGATTATTGCTCTTTCTATATAATTGAAAGTTGCATAAACTAAATGCATGTATCTTGTGATTATACTGTAGTCCATATGGAGTCTGGTTACTCTTCACAGTGACTTGTGTTCTTTTTACCACTACTCAATTCTGTTACCATATTTCCTATTTTGGAGGCTGTAAAGCCACATTTTATTTTCCTGTACTAAAAACTGCAATGCTATTTGATTATGGGCTATTTCATTCTAATTAATATCAGAATGATTCATGATTTGACCCTAAACAAAGTTTAGTTATGTTAAAGGTTGAAAAGCTATCATGGCATCTACAAATAAACACTTTAACGGTTGCTATATTTCTTAGTTTCCTAGAGTTGTTTATATTAATAAGAATTATCAAATAAATAAAAGTTCATATATCAATAAAAACAATAAAGTTCTCCATGGCAAACAGAGTTAAACAGGGTTTTTAATTGTGGCGTTTTTTAGAGCCTTCACTATCCTAATGTGCCGTGTGAATACATAAGAGGATTCAAAATAGCTTCTGCACTATTTTCCTAAATTATCTGACCAGTTTCCTACAGAACATACTTCAGGAAATAGTGCTGTAGTAAGTTCACTGACCAAGTTTAAATATCAAAATGCCCAGGGTATCCTTAGTCCTTATTAACATAAATAAAACAATATATGTTAGGAAGCTGAATGTCCTATTTCAAAACACTGTGGCTCTCATGTCTTTTAATTACTTGTCTGAGAAATCTGTTGAAACTGAACCAAACTAAAAGGATGTGTTTAGGTGACTTTCCCTTCATACTCCTATGCCATTCTTGATGCACAGACATAGTCAAATGACTTCCACTTCTCTCTCCTGAGATAATGCTAGAATAACTCTTGAGATTTCACAATTCATATAATTGGTGAGTGAAAATGTAATTTGCTAATTTTATGTCCTTAGTATAGAAAGGTCATGGAAGGACATTCTGTATACTAAATGACTTAAATGGCCTATTTCTCTGTTGAAAAGCATCCAGTATTTGCTCCTAGAATGTTTCAATACCATAATTCCCTTTCTCTCCATACATCTTTAGTAACCTAGTTACACTTTGGCCTTTATGCGACCGCACTGACGGTTGATTTAGGAAGGTCAGCGTTCCCTCATTGTTCACAGCCACTGTGCAATAACTTTTCTTTCACCTTATAATGAAGTTGAAAAATGCTGCTATTTTCTGGCTTTGAGGGTTGGGTGCCATCACCCTCACATGAATTCTCTGGAATATTACCTAATAAACAATAGGCGCCCTTTCTTATCAACCATGTGCAATGATAAATTCAGTCTGCTATTTGCTGAGCATGTAGAAATTTCTGCTATTTGGTGACTAGTGGGAGCTTCCCACCTGAGAAACGTCTTTACAGCAAAACCTCACAGAAAAAAAGTACATATTGTAGAACAGAAGGTCAAAGGTCTACTACCTTCCTCAGAAAAATGAGGAGGCGGTAGAATTAGGAAATTGTTCCAGGTATAAATTATGGTCAATTAAGATTAGGAAAAGGGCTGCAGTATAGCTAGAATAGGTAATAGTATAGTTTAAGGTGCAATAAACACATACTCTCAATATATGAAAATGAATAGCACTGATAGAGCCAAGAAGTCTTGATTCTGATGAGCGCTTTGAGTTCATAATAGTATTAGTATTTTAATTTAGAAAGTTCTTAGGTTACCAGTAGGTATTAAAGCTGCCATTAAAAAGCAGGAAGGTTTTTATCCTCAAAAGTTTTCCATATTTTATAATCATCATGTAAATATAAAAGTAAGAGACCTATTAAAAATGATTCAAGAAAAGTTATACTTTGAGAAACACTATTCCAAGGTAGGATCTTGTTTTATTTTATTTTTTTAATTTTTATTTATTTATTTATTTATTTTTGGATCTTTTTTTTAAACATCTTTATTGGAGTATAATTGCTTTACAGTCGTGTGTTAGTTTCTGCTTTATAACAAAGTGAATCAATTATACATATACATATGTTCCCATATCTCTTCCCTCTTGTGTCTCCCTCCCTCCCACCCTCCCTATCCCACCCCTCTAGGTAGTCACAAAGCACCAAGCTAATCTCCCTGTGCTATGCGGCTGCTTCCCACTAGCTATCTATTTTACGTTTGGTAGTGTATATATGTCCATGCCACTCTCTCACTTTGTCACAGCTTACCCTTCCCCTCCCCATATCCTCAAGTCCATTCTCAAAGGAGGCAAGAATATACAGTGGAGGAAAAGACAGCCTCTTCAATAAGTGGTGCTGGGAAAACTGGACAGGTACATGTAAAAGTATGAGATTAGGTCACTCCCTAACACCATAAACAAAAATAAACTCAAAATGGATTAAAGATCTAAATGTAAGGCCAGAAACTATCAAACTCTTAGAGGAAAACATAGGCAGAACACTCTATGACATAAATCACAGCAAGATCCTTTTTGACCCACCTCCTAGAGAAATGGAAATAAAAACAAAAATAAACAAATGGGACCTAATGAAACTTCAAAGCTTTTGCACAGCAAAGGAAACCATCAACAAGACCAAAAGACAACCCTCAGAATGGGAGAAAATATTTGCAAATGAAGCAACTGACAAAGGATTAATCTCCAAAATTTACAAGCAGCTCATGCAGCTCAATAACAAAAAAACAAACAACCCAATCCAAAAATGGGCAGAAGACCTAGATAGACATTTCTCCAAAGAAGATATACAGATTGCCAACAAACACATGAAAGGATGCTCAACATCATTAATCATTAGAGAAATGCAAATCAAAACTACAATGAGATACCATCTCACACCGGTCAGAATGGCCATCATCAAAAAATCTAGAAACAATAAATGCTGGAGAGGGTGTGGAGAAAAGGGAACACTCCTGTACTGTTGGTGGGAATGTAAATTGATACAGCCACTATGGAGAACAGTATGGAGGTTCCTTAAAAAACTAAAAATAGAATTACCATATGGATCTTGTTTTAATATGAAACTATCACACGCTTAAAGGCTTTTCTCCCCTTACCACTCTAACATAACTTTTTCCTAGCTCTTACATTTATATATGGTTAGCAGAACTGTACAGATAGGGTCCATTCTATTCTGTATTGCCTTTATTTCACATACTGAGGAATATTTTCTATATGTCAGTGGTCTTCATAACTAATATTCAAGTGAGTGTATAGTATTCTGTAGGTTGATGCTTAATAATTTGTCAATTCCCTGAGTCAGACTCTTAAATTGCTAGCAACCTTATTAAATTTATTACAGATGATTATATAATCATAGAACATGTATCTTTATGCTTCAGTTGAATTACTTCCTTGGGAAAAATCCATAAGACAGAAGAATTTTGTTTTTAAAGAGTAAGTTAAAACTCCCTGATGGCAGGAATCATATCTCATATATCTTTCTGTTTTCTGTAGGCCTTACCACAATGCTGAAAGTATTAAAGGAATTCATTAAATAAGTGATAATTTAGATTTGAATATTCTCTACAGAAAAGTTTGGTCCATGACATAATGGTTGATTCATGATGAATAATCTACTTTCA